GAGTCTGAGGGGTCAGTCACCCGAGGCGGTCGTGCAAGCTGCAACCCAGGGAGTCTGAGGGGTCAGTCACCCAGGGGCAAGCCAAGCGCGGCCAAAATGGCGCGCAGAACGTTCCCAGTCGTGGTCGTGCCGGGACAACCGCGTGGTGGTGGGAACCAAACTCCGTGCGAGAAAGTCAGTCCAGGGAGTCTGACGGGTATGAGCAAACCGAAACTGGCAGACGTCGTCCAGCAAGGAGGGGGATTCTGACAGCGCCAGCGAACCAGTATTTTTTGTTATATATATATATATATATATATATATGAATATATTTATATATATGTATATATATACATATATATAACATAACCTCTGTTCTAGGGGCTGCTTACGAAGGCCTTGCCACGGGCTTGCAGTCTGGTGCCTCACAAGACACGAAGTAGTTGGACGACATGGCTGTTGAATTGCTTTGCCGTCTCACTGATGGCGATGTCGTGCTCTCGGGATTGCAAGAGCAGCCGTCACTGGGGGCCCCCGCCTTGGAGTTAGCCTCTCGGCTGATGGCAAGCAAGCAAGCAAAGGTCCGATCGGACGCCACAAAACGTCGCGCCCCACAGGTGAGGACGACGGAACTTTAAAACTGGCCTGCCATGGCGAGCGACGCTGGCGGCGGAACATTTGGATGCTGTATTGGCAGGCGTGCTTGAGGGGAGGGGAGGAGGAGGGAAGAAGGAGAGGGAGGTGAGGAGGAGAGGAGGAGGAAGGAGGAAGGAGGTGGGACGCGGGGCGCTGTCTCTTCAAAACGAGGACCAACACCACAGGATGGTTGGGAAACATTGAGGGATTGAAGCAGTTATTGTAGGAACGGCTGGCGGGCCCCTGCCCCTCACGTCACACATGCAACAAATCACAATGACAGCCTCGGTGCCCGACGTCCCCTGCGGAGGAAGACGACGTCCTCCAGCATCAACAAGATCCCTTGAGCAATGGCCACTCCGCCATCGTCACCCTCTGGTGGGTCTTCGAATGATGGAAATTTGAACTTTGCGTTCGCCGATACTTCGAGGACTCTCGGGCCCATGTGAGGCAGCTTGAGGCGGATTCGGAATGGCTGTGCAGCCAGAACATCACCCTGCACAAGGTCTACATCACGAGCATCAAGCAGATCGTTGTAGGCCGTGTCCGCCCAACCCATAAAGTCGGCACGATTAATGACCCACTGCAGCAGCTTTGGGCCCTCGCATATGGGTCCACACAAACTCAAGAAATCGGGTGAGCACCGCAGCACGGGCATACCAGAACTCTCTGCGTCAATGAGAACAGCCATCTCAGTGCACGAGGGGTCGATCAGCAGACCAGAGGAATCAGACGTCGAGATACTGATACAACTCTCTGGGATGCCTGCGAAAGTGCTTGAATTCTGTGACTCTGGGCTGCAGCATAACACCCCTGGACGCGCCGCCCGCGGCTCTTCCGAATCTTCCTTCACACCTACGATGTGGATCAACTCGTCGTGTATGTCAACGCCCCGGGCGTGAAAGAGCTCAACTTTTACCGGCATGCCCCATGAATCCCTAAAGGACATGTGGAGGCTGTAGGTATCGGATATGGGCCGCTCCAAGAAACGAAGCAGACGCTCTCTCTCAGTGGCATCAAACGCTAGATTGGAAAAGTGGACTCCCGCCGCCACATCGCTGGATGATCTTAGGAGCAGGGCGGCAAGGGATGCGCAAGGCTTTGAGAGCTGAAACTCCTTCGAGAGATGTACCACTGCATCGCACACACTTGACAGCAGCCCGTCCGCTGTAGACTCGAACTGTCGTGACGCCTTGGCCTCCAGAATTGCCAAAAACTCTGAATCGCGGGACCATGCGACGACGGCTGCTGAGATGCTAACAAAGAATGTGACAAGCAATTCCTGACGTACGTCTACAGGGTCATGCCACGGAGCAAAAGCTGAGACAACTGCGACGTACACACTGCCAAAACACAAGGACAACATGGGCTTTGCGTGTATTAAACAGAACATGGAACGGAAACATATTCTCACGCGGCTCGCATTCAAGAACTCAATTCTGGATGTGGTATTGATCGCAATAATGATGAAGGTGACATAGACACAGAAATGGAAACAGAGAAAGACTTTCGGGGTCATCCAATCCGGTCTGACGGCGCCCAGCATAGCAAAGGTTCCCATTCCTAAGTTCATGTAGTGCGTGAGCTGGGACGTATCGTCTTGATACAACTGAATTGAATTGTAACAGACGGCTGCAAACAGAGTCCAGGGGCACCCCCAAACAAGTTGCTCATTAAGTCGCTTGTCTGCCATACCCTTCAAATGACGATGCAACGGGTGCGGTGGTGTCATGCAGAGTACCCGCTTCATCGTGGCATGGAACGAAGAAAACATCGATCTCACTCGTGGTAACTGGACATCTCGACAAGGAGCGCGCGCCCGCCAGGCAATGGCAACGACTGCGAGAACATTGAAACTGCAGAGCCAAACACGTCCATCAAGCAT